GGATTTGGGCTGTACTCAGCAAGCACAGTACAGCTTCCAACTCAGATCTAAAAAGAAAATAGTGGATGGCTGTTTTCTGACTGGTCGGCAGACCGCCGACCACTCGGCCCTACTGGTCCTCTGCAAAACGGTCGGCGGTCGGTGTTGGCGGTAGGCAGGTATGCAACCATGCATTTAAAATATAAATATATATATATATTTGACGATATATATATATATATATTTGTGACGATATATTTTTTTTGTTTCTTTGTTTCTTTTTTTGGCCCGGCCGGCAAGTGGTCCCGGGCCACTCTAGTAGTCTGGTTTACGACCTATTTTCTTCTCTCAATCTTGCATCAAACTCACACTACCCTACCCTACATTATCCACTCACATATCTAGATTCTAGTATGGGGATTTACCTTATCTTTTTTTGCACTAGTCTCAGTAGTCTGACCACAAGCCTAGCTAATTTTCGATCTATCCTAGCCTACTGAACCCCTCAGGGTTGAACCTTCCTGGTTAAGCCTACCCCTCCAGGGTTGAATCTAACCCCTAGCACGGATGGAAAGGGGCCAACCTTTTCCCCTACCAAGTCCAGGGGGGGCGAACCATCTATCTCAGGCGGCGAGCCCCAACTGCGCTGCAATAAGCCGTGGGGGGCCAAATGGATGCCGTGGGGCATTGAACCCATGACCTCCTGAATACCACTTGTGTGCGCAACCAACTGAGGTAAGTCTTGTTTGCCACCATTTAGCTAGGCCGTTTTCCCGAGCGCCTGGGCACCCAACTTCTGCCCGGGTACACGCCTGGGTGCCTGACCGGGCATGACCCCCGGGCAGGGTTCCAGACAACCCCAGCGCCAAAAAATAAAAATAAAAATAAAAAAATCACAAAATTCCGGGGAAAACAATATGTTGTGTAGAATTGAAATACAAACGACTTTTGGCTGAGGGTCACATTATAATTCCTCACAGAATCGGAGATAAAAAAGAAAATAACAGAATCACACAAAGGCACCCCCCTTAAAACCCCTTTAGCCTCTTTAAAACCAATTTGTACCCCCCTCCCCCCCCCTTGACAGCCAACTCGCAAAAAAAGAAATGAGCCCGGATTTGGAGTCCTCTGGGAGAGGGCAGAAAACCAAAAAAAAAAAAAACGGGTACCCCGGGCGTCACGCCCGGGTGCCCGGCCGGTCAGGACCGGCCGGGCGTGAGAATCTTCCTAGCCATTTAGTAAATTTGTTGACTCCAAAAGAGAGCTTTTTTAAAAGACTGATTTTCTTGGAATTGTTTTCTTTCCAATCCACTTACTGCAGTTGCAGTATTTGATTTATTTAGTTTGTCGTTTTCCAAACCCGTTTTTGATGCATCATGCATGTGCATGCCAGTATGGTGCTTATCCCTTTTGGATCGACCAATCAGAGAAGGACAGGCCCCCTGGTAATCAGGGCGGCTGGAAAGGCCTACCGGTAGAAGAAGGTAGCGGTGGTATTCTAAACACTGAAGGGATTGTTTTTTCAAAAAAAAAAAAAAAAAAAAAAAAAAAAGTCATTGAAATCAATTTTGGCAAGGTTTCGAAACAAATGTTTTGGCAGTCTTTTTGTCATGTGTTAGGTATTCTTTTGGCATTCTTTTGCTTTTTTTTTGGCAATCTTTTGACAAGGTTCTGACGTGTTCCTTACAATCTTTTGGCAATTTTTTGGCAATGTTTTGACAATGGGTGTCGCTCCTATACACAACACTGTACATGCATTTGGACGCTTTATGGACCAGGGGCATTCGGACGATTCCAACGTTGTGAATGTATCCGGTCAGGAAAGCAGCCAAATGCATGTACAATGTTGTGTAGTGGAGCGAGGCCCAATGTTTTGAGAACTTTTGACAATGTTCTGGCAATGTTTGGGCAATTGCCGCAATTGTTTGGGAATTGTTTTTTCGGCAATTGTTTCTTCTTGGGAATTGTTTGGCAATTGTTTTCTTGGGAATTGTTTGGCAATCATTTGACAATTGTTTTTCTGTGAATTGTTTGGGAAATTGTTAGGCTATTGTTTTTTGGGGGATTGTGTTGGCAATGTCTTGTAAGTTGTTGATTTTCACCACTCTGTATTTCACCACTCTGTATGAGCTGTTGTTGGTTCTTAATAACTTTTGTATATGGTAGGCAAACGACAGGCAAACGACCTAAGCCCAGGTGGTATTAGATTAGTGTTGTTCCACTGAGTGCATAACTTCAGGCAAGGTGATTTTGTTATGATCCTCGCCAATTTCGAAGTACGCATGCATCAGAAAGTACAATGGGGTGCAATTGCAAAAGGAAATGAATGAACTTGAGAGGAGAGAGAGGGAAAGAAAAAGAAGAAGAAGATGTACACCAGCAAAGACCAATTCCCTTCTTCTTCGCCAACCACTCTCCTCCTCCTTATCTCCTCCCCTCTTATTCAAACAAGAAATAATAATAACAATGTTGAATGGCTAAACCAGAATCATTGTCCGAATCCCTCTTCTACTGCAGGCATCACATGAGGTCCACCATAGCCATGGCCACCCTTCTTCCTCCATCTCTCACGGCCGAGGCTATGGCGGACTACCAGGGCACCACAGTGCTGTGAAAAGGACAACACAAAGCAGCTATGGCTGCTCTAGCGCAGGCCGCCATGCCTGACTCTGCCTCAAAGCTTCTTGGTGCAGCTCTACCCCAACGGGGGCCTTCCAGATGCAGCGCTCACCAAGGTGATGAAGATGGTACTATCCACCATAGCCAGGTAAGTACCTCTGGCGCTCCTCCCTCCTAGTCCTGATCTTCTTTCTCCTCCTATCCTTGCTCCTCCCCAGCTGCGCTGCTCTTGATGCTAGCGCTGCTCCCACCAGTGTGTCGCCAAACTTGCACACCGAAAATGAGGAGGAGCTCTTTGCTCCTCCTGGAGATATAGCGGCCTGCTTGCCTCTTGGCGAGTGACTTCCTAGGCCGTGCGGCCTCCAAGCTACCGGTACCTCCTTCCTTTCGGAGTGAAACATCATTGCAGACTTGATATTGCCCGTACAAGCCCTAGACTCAGAGTGGTTGGACTGGTACCCACCTAGACCTAGCCTACAACTACTGGGCCTCTAGAAATGCCAACTTTTGTCTTCTTCTGCTCGGCCTCGAGTACCGAGCACATCTATCTCTACTTGGTGTGGTACCGACCCACCTGCTACTTGAGTGTTTTCCGCTTCTCTAAGTGTCGCGGGCCTCTTTCCCCGCCACTTGAGGGCTTTCCCACCGCAACCCTCAATGTCACGGCCGCAGGTAAGTACCGGCCCTTCAGGCCTTCTGAACAAGTGCCCCGTGCGGGTCACACACACACTCAAGCCGACAAGCACTCAGACAGGCATGCAGACCAGCAAGTACGCACACACACAGACTTGGAAAACTCAGCAACAAGCGGGAAACTCAGCAAGGCATACATTCCATGAGCAAAACTCAGAAATCAGCTGTGTGTCTCAGTCTGTGTTTGGCAGGTCATTACAATTTGGTGAAATGGGTGTCATTTTGAGCATTCACATGCACACCTATGTATCAGAAGGAACCGCCTTTAAACAAAAAACAAAACAGACGAAAAGAAACAAAGTTAAAGAAGGTGTTTGTGCTTTTGGTAATCCATACCTTAGCTGCACTGAGGGCACACTCCCACTATGACTTTTTTGACTCAGCTCTGGATGCGATTGCTGTCAGATGCATCCACGAATGCTCTGAGCGAAGCCGCACTTGATTATTATTTGCACACTTTGCAGCGTTTGCACGGGCTGCAAGTTCATAATATTTCCTTATGTTATGATCCTGGCTATATTGATTGCAACAACTCAAAGAAAGGCAATGCCATTCAGATGCAACTGAAATGAAAGAGCTTGGAAGGAGAAATCGACAAAGGAAGCAGCAGCAGAAGAAGAAGATGAACACCAGCAAAGACTGATGTCAATCCCCCTTCATCTCGCCACCATCTCGAACCTCCGATTACTTCGCCAACTTCTTCTTAACAATAAGAATAACAATAAGAATAATAACAATGAAAGAATAAACCAGAACCAATGTCTGAATACTCTCCTTACTGCCAGCCACTCCAGAGGTCCACCGTAGCCATCTCCTACACATTCCTCTTCCTTGGCCGAGAAGGTGGCTATGGCGGCCCAGCGGAGCGAAGCTCCGATGCTGAAAGGAAAACGCAAAGATAATGTGTCCCTCCTACTATGCTTATCACTACCCCCGAAGTCTTCCTTGTCGAGGCCAACCCCAACTGGGGCCTTTCAGGTGCAGCCCCAACCAAGAAGATGAAGATGCAGTCCACCATAGCCAGGTAAGTACCCCCATCACTCTCCTCCTTGCTCACCGTCTTCTCCTCCTACTACTACTTCCCACGAGCCTCCTCCTTGGTCCTCTCCACCATAGCCAAGGTGGAGGGCCAAGCCTGCCTTCTTCCTCCCCATCGCTACTATACTGAGCTCTCACTCCACCGGTGTGATGCCCGAACTCCCATGCTGCAAATGAGGAAGAGTTCTTCGCTCTGTCTCTAGGTAGCCTCTTCGAGCAGCGACTTTCCAGGCCGCGCGGCCTCCCCAACCTACTGGCACCTCCTACTTTTGGACAAGCATCTGACATTCCCCCCAGCAGGCCCCAGACTCAGACTGCTGGTCCGGTGCCCTTAGAGGCTTAGACCCATAAGCCTACTGGACTTCTACAATTCCTCCAGCCTCTAACGATACTAACTTTTTGTCTTCTTCTGTCTAGCTACCCGCTACTTCAGTGTTTCCGTCCTACGTGGGCCCAGCCTACTTCTAGTACCTGCTGCGCCCTTACAGAACCACGGCCACAGGTGAGTACCAGGCCTGTAGGCGTTCCCAGCACACAAGTAGCCTGGCGGGTCACACACACACCCAAACAATCATGCAGTCAGACAAACGCATGGAAACTCGGCAATCATGCACAGACAAGTACTTAGAAATCTCAGCAAGACGCTCAGGCCAGCGGCCAAACTCAGAAACAGCAGGTCTTTCACTTTCAGTCTGTGATTTTTTTTGCAGGTCATTACACTTATTTCTGACATAAAATGTGAACAGTTCCTGAAAAGGACTGTGTAGTGCCATTTCTGCCCCCAAAAGAACTTGCAATGAGCTCATTTGCACCATGCAGGTTTGTTTTGCAATGACCTCATAAGCCTCATTCGCATGTACCTGGATGATGTCAACAGCCAGGTACATCATTCTGGGGAGCACTGAAGTCAGAGCGAAGTTCTCCAGCAGCACTGGCACCTTTCGGCCTATTAAAAGACTATAGTAGTAAGGCAGTAGAGTAGAATCACACAATATCGTGACACACTTGCCGGGCATGCAATCCGGTATGCAGCTAAAATGCAGTCCAAAGTACATGAAAGAAGCGATGATGGCAACCCCTATGCCGCGTTTTGACTACCGTCAACGGCGTCAAGTAGTCATCTGGTTCAAAAAAAAAAAAAAAAAAAAAAAGTAGTCATCGGGTTCGTGTTTACAACCCGCCCAAAGCTTGTCACTTGAGCGGTGTTGGTTTCGCGTGAATTGATTGCTGCGACATCGGTCGGTTTGGACCTCCACTTAGTTTCACCCAAGTTTCATCCTGGCCATGGTTAGATCATCCGGGTTCGGGTCCATAGACAGTGACAATAGGCTCAATAGCCCTAAAGAGCCTTGCTTGCACTATGGCTCCGGTGGACAATTTCCCTTAACCAAGCCGCTGCCTATGAGTCGCCGGCTCATTCTTCATGATTCCCGCTATTCAGATGTTACGATGCTCTCCTGGTTGGCAGCTCACGCCACGTGGACAAGGGGTTTACCACCGTGTCATCTCCCGAAGTACCAAACCACCTACACTCCACTCTTCCCCCTCAGTCGCCCTGCCTGTCAGCACCTCCAGAATGCCGGAGTAAGGACTGCGTCGGTTCTTCCGAAGAGGACGAGCCATCAATTCTGATCCTATTTATAGTCCGACGAAACGGATCCCAGCAGAGGACTAGTAAACAATCAAAGTCAAACATACAGGGTTGGGGGCCTGATATCTACTGTGACCAGTTCTTTTGAGACAGGAAAAGTAAAACTACCTTGTGTACAGGTCTGGAGTTCAGTGTGCCCGGACCTTCTGTAGTTCATCTAAAAAATTTCTCAATTTAAATTTTGGAAACATTGAAAGTGGTTGGTGAGATGGCATCATTAGTGCCCAGTCTATCATGTTCCCCATGATGCAACACAACCGACCATGAATGTATACAAAGCTATGTTTCCAGTCCAATACAGAATGTAGACAAGGTGCGTTTTCCGGTCCAGTGTATTCATGATGAGGGTGCAGTGTGTTGGGGGGAAGACGGCAGTTGCCGGACAGGGCAGGCAGTATAAAAGTCCGATTGTATGCAGATGGCCATTATGCGAGAGATGTGCATCGACTGCCGTCGAACCTCTCGATCTTCTGATTTGTCGCGACTGTATTGAACTGGAAACACTACACCCTCATCATGACCGTATGGGACTGGAAACATAGCTTTTTATATATTCATGATCGGGCATAAGCTTCAGTTGACTATAGTTGGACCTGTCGATCTCTTGATTCTCTTCTGATTCTTTCTCGCTTTGAATCACTTTGCTGCCGCTGTCGTGTTTACACAGGGATCCCAATTTGACCGTGCTGTGCGGCAATTTGAGAGTATCTGCTCTGTAACAACGGAGAGATTCAAAGTGGCAACAGGTCGTACGGTCATTGCTCGGGGCGACGGAAGCACAGCTGAGTGCGACGATGAAACGACACCTACACAGACCGAGGAAGAAGAAGACGAAGCCATGAAAGAACCGTCTGTCAAACAGAATCAACAAGAAGGAACAGCAGAGGATAAAGTATGATGAACATCTACAACAACTGTGGTGAATGTATGTGAACAGACATCCGTGCAGCTATCTACAAATGCGGTATGTGTCGCCATCTCGAGAAGAATGGATGCTAGACGTGTGGTACACATCATCATCTCTATCGAGGTGCAATTATGTGTGTGTGTAGATGTGTGTGTGTGTGTGTGTGTGTGTGTGTGTGTGTGTGTGTGTGTGTGTGTGTGTGTGCGCGCGCACGCATGTTGTAGCATGTCACCTCAACAACCCCTTTTCCACCCAGATTAGCAGATCTGAAATTGGAAAAGAGCTTTACCTCTATAGCAAGCAAGCAACATGAAGCACACTAAACCGTTATATTTCCTTGTCCTTGTACAGTCCTTTCTTTGCTTTCCTTACTTTGGCTTTCTTTGGGGTTTCCCTTTTATTTCTTCTTGCAGCTCCCCTTTTACTGTGCCTCTCACATACGGCTCGCCGTGTTGATTATGGTCGAGTGTGAGCTTCCCACATCCCTGTGTGCTGTAACGGCCCACTGGCACGCTATGACAGGCAGGTATACTCCTGTTCATTTTTCAGCTTATATTTTGTCTTTTCTCTTAATGATGCGCATTTGTATGCATTAAGTAGTGCTACATAAGGGGATGGAGGTCGGGAAAGGGGAGGGAAGGAGTTTCTACACGAGGAGAGGGACGAGGGAGAAGGGGGAGAGGAGGGACAAGGACAGACGTGTGTGTGTGTGTGTGTGTGTGTGTGTGTGTCTGTGTGTGTTCTGAATTTTCACGACAACAGCCCAGTTGAGTGGATCTAAAATCGAAGCAGCTTGTCCTATTGCAGACAACGAAAACACTTATTGAATTGAGGCAATCCAACAATGAAATAGTTTTGGCTCTGTAGCAAGCAACACGGAGCATAATAGAAGTGGTTAAACTTTAAAATTTACATCCCTTTCTTTAATGTGTTCACTTTGCGGTTTTGGGGTACCCCTTTCATTCGTTCTTGCAACTCCCCTTTTACTGTGTCTCTCATGTACAAGGCTCACCATGTTGATCGTGGTTAAGCGCGAGCTGCCCACATTCCCGTGTGCCATAACAGCCCACTTGCACACTATGTGTGTGTGTGTGTGTGTGTGTGTGTGTGTGTGTGTGTGTGTGTGTGTGTGTGTGTGTG